TACCATGGGCGTTATCAACTCAGAATCCCCGGACATTTTCTGGATTCAAAGACTCACTGAAGATAAAGTACCCTGTAAGTTGACTCTGGGTGGCAGGGAATTTGACAGTCTCTTAGACACAGGGGCAGATGTCAACAATTATCAGGCAAGCAGAATGGCCCTCGAAGTGGCCCCTGACCACATCCCTCACTCATCTCAAAGGAAATTGGGCAGTCTCAAAACCCTTCTCATAGCCCCTCTTTCTTAGCCTGGAAAGACGCTTCTGGACAATCTGGCATGATGCGTCCCTACGTCCTCCCCAAACTCTCAGTAAATTTATGGGGAAGGGACATTTTAAGCCAGATGAACACTTTCATATGTGAACCTGACAGCCCCATAACTCAACAAATGCTGAACAGTGGCTTCGTGCCCGGGGCAGGCTTAGGTAAATACTTGCAAGGAATTACAGAGCCCATAGCTCTCAAACCCAATAACGGAAGGGTCGGGCTTGGAAATTTTTGATAATGGCCAATTCCTGCACCCCATGCAGACAAAATAATCTGGAAATCTGACGAACCAGTATGGGCTGATCAGTGGCCTCTTGTTCACCATAAATTGGTGGTCACAGAACAGTTAGTGCAGGAACAGCTTTCTGCGGGCCATGTAGAGCCCACCACCTCTCCTCGGAACACACCTATTTTTGTAATAAAAAAAAAGAAATCTGGGGGCTGGAGTGATAGCACAGCGGGTAGGGTGTTTGCCTTGCACGCAGCCAACCCAGGTTCAATTCCCAGCATCCCATATGGTCCCCTGAGCACCGCCAGGAGTAATTCCTGAGTGCAGAGCCAGGAGTAACCCCTGTGCGTTGCCGGGTGTGACCCAAAAAGCAAAAAAACAAAAACAAAAAAAAACCAACAACAACAACAACAAAAAAAAAGAAATCTGGCCATTGGAGATTGTTACAGGATTTGAGAGTTATTAATAAGACTGTGGTCATTTTTGGAGCCCTGCAACCGGGCTTGCCCTCCCTGGTAAAGGCAAGGTAAAGGTAAGGTAAAGGCCCTCCCGTTGATCATCGATTTGCTCGAGCGGGCCCAGTAACGTCTCCACTGGAGACTTTGTTGTTACTGTGTCTGGCATATCGAATATGTCACGGGGAACTTGCCCTCCCTGGTAGTCATCCTTAATTCTTTTAAGAAAATTGTCATTGACCTAAAAAATTGCTTTTTTCCCCCATTCCCTTGCATCCGGAAGACCGGAAGACATTTGCTTTTAGCCTTCCTGTAATTAATTCGCAGGACCCATGAAAAGATACCCATGGGATATCTGCCACTTGGCCAAAAGTTTGTCGCCCAAATAATTGATCCCATACGTTTACATTATGTTGCTTATTCCATCCCTTTATTAGAAACCGTTAGTTATCCCAAACCCTCCTCTAATGCAGTTCGCTTGTTGGTGCAAATTCAAGAATTAGAGTTAGAAAGTTTCCCTTTAATATAGGACATCTTAGCGCTCACTCCAGCCTTCCCGGCCCCCTTGCACAAGGAGTGCTCTGGCGGACCAGGCTACTCAATTTGCGGGAACGATCACCGCCACAGGAGTTGAACTGGCCCAACAAGCACACTCGTTGCCCCACCTTAATGCCAATACCTCGCGACAAATGTTCTCAAGTCGCGAACGGGCTAGACAAATCGTTAAACAGTGTTCGGCCTGTGTGACCTCTGCCTACCCCACACCTAGGGGTTAATCCCCGTGGGTTAGTACCGAATGACATTTGGCAGATGGATGTGACTCATGTCTCTGCATCTGGCAAACTGAAGTACCTACATGTCACTGTGGACACCTTTAGCAGATCTATGGTTCGCTACAAGCGGGAGAAACAGGGAAAAAAAAATTCTTGTGCATACCCTTTCCTGCTTAGCTGTCATGGGAAGACCCAAAATCATTAAAACTGATCATGGACCCGGTTATACAGGAAAAGTCTTTCAGGAATTTTGCACCTCTTTGGGAATCACTCACCGAACACGTATCCCTTACAACCCCCAGGGCCAAGGGATTGTGGAAAGAGCACATCTCACTGTAAAAAACATGCTTCACAAATTTAAAAGGGGGCAGCTCTACCCGGTTAAACGAGCACCTCGTAATATCTTAGCACATGTCCTTTTCATTATTAATTTCCTAAACTTGGATTCGCAAGGACGATCCTCGGCAGATAGGCTTTGGCATCCCACCACAAAAGAGCACTAGGCCTCTGCCTTATGGAAAGACCCACTGACTGCCCAATGGAACGGCCCCGACCCTGTACTTATATGGGGACGTGGGTCTGTGTGCCTCTTTGATCTTAGAGAAGGAGCTGCTAGGTGGCTTCCTGAAAGATTAGTGAAGCATTTTAATGATATGCCTGCTTCCAGGGATCCAGAAGGCCCTGAGACCTGTTCTCCTTCATTCCTAGGTGACATCGACAAAGATGGCCGAGAAGAAACCACTGACTCACATTCTGCCATTCCAGCAACTGGCCTTCTTAACCCTGACGTGGCTGGAGATGATCCAAGGACCTAATCCACATGTGTCTCTTAACCTCACCCAAGAATATCCACAGATGAGGACATCGAGAAAATGGAAGTGACCATCTCCCTTCTGCAGGATTCCATGACCTCCCTGGCAGAAATGGTGCTGCAGAATCGGAGAGGTCTTGACTTGCTGCTCCTCCGGCAAGGAGGACTATGTGCTACTCTGAAAGAAGAGTACTGTGTCTACATGGACCACTCGGGGCGGGTTAAGGACTCGATGGCTAAAGTGCGGGAAGGCCTGGAGAAACGCAAGAGATAACGGGACCAGGAACGAAGCTGGTTTCAAACTTGGTTTTCTACTTCCCCTTGGCTAACCACTGTTACCTACCATACTTGGTCCTCTAATCGGGCTCTTACTGCTAATCTCCTTTGGACCATGGGCCTTTCGGCGCCTGACTACTTTCATCAAGCAACAACTGGACTCCTTGCAGGCTTAACCCATACAAGTGCACTACCACTGGCTGTACCTGGCAGATAGTGGATACGGTGAGGACCTTAGTGCTTCACCAGGTTACCTATATATATATGTATTTTTTGCTTTTTGGGTCACACCTGGCGATGCACAGGGGTTACTCCTGGCTCTGCACTCAAGAGTTACTCCTGGCAGTGCTCAGGGGACCATATGGGATGCTGGGAGTCGAACCCGGGTCGGCCGCGTGCAAGGCAAACGTCCTCCCCGCTGTGCTCTCTCTCCAGCCCCTGTACTGACATTCTCGATGTCAGTCAAGTCTCGTGTACTGTGGGTGGATGAAATAGTTTAGAGGACCTTCGAAGACTACGGAGCTGGAGTGGGACGAACAGGACGGGGAGAGGGCGCTGGCCTTGCATTGGTGGACCCAGGTTCGATCCCCAGCACCCCTGTAGGGTCCCCCACGCCCTGCCAGGAGTGATCACTGAGCTCAGACACAGGAGGAAGCCCTGAGCACCACAGGGCATGACCCCCCCAAACAAAAAAGATCTCAGAGCTAATAGTTTTTTTGCTTTTGGGGTCACACCTGGTGGTGCACAGGGGTTACTCCTGGTTCTGTACTAAGGAATTACTCCTGTCAGTGCTCGGGGAACCATATGGGATGCCGGGAATCGAACTCGGGTCAACCTCATGCAAGGCAAACACCCTACCCGCTGTGCTATTGCTCCAGCCTTGAGCTCAGAGCTAAGAGCAAAGAAAATACCCCACTGAAATTGTGTGTCTCTCTAAATTTGGAGCTGATGGGGATCTACATGCATTTCCGTAGACAGGGTGTCACAAAATACTCACTGGGTTCCCAGGGAGCCCAGAAAACACATGGGCCAGTCACCACCACAGGACACTCTTCAGAGACTGCAGAGAGCCCAGGGCAGTTGAGTGGCAGGTCATAAACTCTTGGGGGGGGGCCCACAGAGGCAGCACCGTGACGGTGACCCCTGCGAGCATGGCCTCGGGAGGAAAGGAGGGCCCTGTGGGCATGACTGGAGAAGCCCTACTTCAAAGATGTGCCCACCACCAGGCCTAAGAGTTCTGGGGGCCCAAACTTAACATCTCTCTTTTCTTGTTTTTTAAATTCTTGAGTTGTTTTTTTTTTAAATTCTTAAGCCTCTTCCAGTGATGCTCAGGGGTGTGATTCTGGGGCTCCGGCATGTGACACTTGGGCCCAGCTTTCTGAGCGTCCCCCTGGTCCCTCTGATCTCATTTTCACTACTTGCATTTTAACAGCCATAGTTGAATGTTCTGCTGCCTTTGCCCAGAGCCAACACAGAGAAACAGCAACTCCCACAAAGAAGTCTCCTGGCGTCACGAGCAGGCAGAGGCCCCGGATAACAGCCCCCTTCCCCTGCCCCCACGACACCCAACATGTCACAGGGTCTGCGGACCCCATGAGGCAAAGGAACGTCACTGCTGGCCCCCAAGGACCACCTGGTGACTTCCTTCCTCTGTGCTCCGCCCACCGCCCCAGGTACAGACGGCAGGTGTGTGTTCACAAGAACTGGCAAGGAGAGAAGGGGGTGGGGGGCGCTAGCATGAGCAGTCCAGGAGCCAGCGAGCACTTTCAGCCCCAAAGACATGCACAGTGGTTCTTAGGGACCCAGAGAAAGCCCAGGGGGAATTCACAGGCCCCCTCCTCGGAGACAATGGGGGTTGGGGGGTGGCGGGAGTTTGACTGGCCTGAGCCAGTCACACACACGCCTCCAATTCTCCTCCAGCAATTCTCCTCTTCTTCCAGGTGTTTCCAGCCACCCTCGGAGCCTGCCGCAGCACTGCGCACAGATCATCTGCAAACCAGCCGCAGCCAGTCATGCTCCCCGAGCAGGCAGAGAAGTGCCGCCACCAACGCTGTCATCCGCCTGATGGCGCGTCACAGCCAGCCCTGGTCTGAAGGGCTGTGACTGCCACAGGCAGCTGCTCCACTTCCGCCTCCGCAAACAACTCCCGCCACCCCAAAGGCGCAGGGTCCTGAGGGACGAGCCACCCACCTTGCAAACATTTCCAGGTCTTTGGCAAAATTTTCTGAAAGAGAGAAAAGAGACTTCAGCTCCCGCCCCCTCAGCCAGGTGCGGGCCGGCAGTGGCTAGGCCCTGCGGTGTGCATGGACCCATCCAACAGTGCTCGGTGCCGGGCACAGGACTGCATCCACCACCCACCCTTCCCAGCCCCCACTCCTCACCAGGAGCGGTGGCCATGCCTGTGCTCTCCTTAACCTCAGGTCAGCTATGCCCGCGAGGACCCTGATTTCCTCTGCAGCAAATACCAACGCCACCACGCACTCAGCATGTGAATAAGTTGTCGGTGATGGGAAAACATCATAAAGAAACACTAGGGCCGGGGAGATAAAGCACCTGATGGTCTTGCGGGCAGCGGCCCCACTGGGATCCCCCCACTGGGATCCCGAATTGCTCAGCTCAGCACTCCTTAGCACAGAGCCAGGAAAGGCCCCTGAGCACTGCCAGGTGTGGCCTCAAACAGAGGAATAAAACAAAGTGTAACATTTCAGGGCCCTTAAAGCACCACCCAACCCAGGTGCTGATCCTCCTAAGGCCCCCAGGAAAAGAGCCGCACAGTACAGCAGGGAGGGTACCCACCCTGCACCCAGCATCCCGAAAGGGGCTCAATCCCCCAAGCCCGCCAGGAGTGAGCCCTGAGCACAGCCACGTGTGCCCTCCTCCCGACTTTCCCCCATCAGTCGTCAGGCTCTTGCAGCTGGAGGACGGCAGGCTGGCAAAACCGCTTCTCCGGCCGCTGCCGAGGGAGACCCGCACCCACCACCAGCCCCACCGCAGAGTTTTCTCTGCAGGAAAAGAAGCTCCTGGCTTCCTACCGCACTGCCGAAAGGTCAGCTCCGAGATCGCGGCGATGGTCTGTTTGCTGAACGTCACCTCCTTGTCCGCGGCCACCTCCTCACAAAGCCCACCGACGGTGTAGTGCACGGCCGCCCTCAGCCTCTGCAGGAAATCAGGCACCTATGGCGGGGCGCTCCCACCCCGAAGACCCAGGGGAGGTACCATGTGGCCTGGCTCCTTCCCCTCTTTCTTTTTTTTTGCTTTTTGGATCCACCTGGCAATGCTCAGGGGTTACTCGTGGCTCTTCACTCAGGAATTACTTCTGGCAATACCCAGGGGACCATATAGGATGCCTGGGATCGAACCCAGGTAGGCCACGTGCAAGGCAAACACCCTCCCCACTGTACTACGGCTCCAGTCTCCCTTTTTATCTTTTTCAGTTGCTTTGTTTTGGGGTCACACCCAGCGATGCTCAGGGATCACTCCTGGGCTTGGGGGACCCCACGAGGTGCTGGGGACTGAACCAAGGTCCGTAAGGCAAGCGCCCCCCCATCTTCCACTCTCCCGGGGTGTTAGAGGCCCTCTCCAGCCTCTGACATGAGGACTGGGGCAGGGGTCACCTCCTTACTAAGGCGGTGCCTTAGGTCAAGCCTGTGCTAGCTCGGCTAGTAGGCCAGTGGGGAAGAATTGGACAGGTGCTGGTTCCTGGGTGGTCAAGGGAAGACAGTGAAAACCCGGGGAGCTGCAGGACCCCGCTGGCCCCAGGCCCGCAGTGACAAAGGTCACAGGCAGGGAAGGGCTCACCTGCCTCTCTGATCGGCAGCAGAGGTGACGCCCACCTCTGCCACCCTCCAAACAGGAAAGAAGAGGGACCGCTGGGGCTGGAGCGATAGCACAGCGGGTAGGGCGTTTGCCTTGCAAGGGGCCGACCCGGGTTCGATTCCCAACATCCCATATGGTCCCCTGAGCACCGCCAGGTGTAACTCCTGAGTGCAGAGCCAGGAGTAACCCCTGTGCATTGCGGAGTAACCCCTGTGCATTGCCGGGTGTGACCCAAAAAGAAAAAAAAAATGGGATCGCTGAGCCCCGGGGCATCTCCGTGCTGGAGACGGAGCTGGACGCAGTGTCCCAGGCGAGAAGGAAGGAAAAGTCCAGGGAGATAAGCAAGACACCGCCCGAATCTGGTTTGCATCTTATCAGGGCTCAGGCAGCCAAGGTGTCAGATTGTCAGATAAGCGGCCCAGTGACCCTGGGAAAGGCCCTCCAGGCGGGGCTGGACAGTCAGCCCGGGGCCACTCTGCCTGCAGATGGGCCCGATCTGGACCCAAGCACCTCCGAGAACCGCCCCTGGGCAGAGCCCCGAGCACCCCCGGGGCGCGGGCGCTGCAGGGTGTGGCGCCCCAGGCATGACACGCAGCCCGGGCCCGGGTTCCCCCCGCCCTCCCGCCGCCCCCACGAAAACTCCATCCTCGGAGCATGGCCGGGCCCTCGGCTCCGCGTGTGCGCGGCCCCGGGAGCCGGAGGGCGCGGACGCGGCCCGTGGGAAAGTCCCTCGGCGCGCCGCACCGAGCCGGCACGTGGCAGCCGGCCCCAGCCGCGTCGCTTCCGCCCCGCGTCGCCATGGGAACCGCCTCCCAGCAGCCCTCGCGCGAGCACGGCCGCGCATGCGCAGAGCCTCGGCCGAAGCTCGCCCGGCCCGCCATGGCGCCGGGCAGAGGCCTGGCAGGGCGCGGGGCTGCGACTTCCCCGCTCCAGAAACGAGACCCCGGCCTCCCCGCGCTTAGCCAGGCCCCGGCGCCCCCGTTACCTGCTGATAGGAGAATTGCTGCTGCTCCTCGGCCTCGGCCTCCTCCATCGCGGCGGGCGCGCCGAGGCGGAGACAGGCGGCGGCGCGGCTGCCCCTCGGATCTTCCCGCCGCCGCGGCCGACGACGGGCCGCGCGGGGGGTCAAAGCGCGAAGCGAAGCCCCGCGCGGCCGCGCGCGCGCCTCCTAGCGGCAGGTCTGGGAAGGGCCCCGCTGCCGGCCCGGTGCCGCCTCCAGTCCCGGCGGCGGCGGTGGCGGGGGGCGGGGCGGTTCGTGTCTGTGGCCCCCGGACTAGCGAGGTGCTCGGCGCCTTGGGTCACTGCAAGGAGTGGGTACAAGTAGGGACAAGCGTTGTCACGCTGCACTCTTGCCAGTTGCAGACGACGGCTGTAACGTCCCGGCGCGTTGCGAAAGTCATTGCCCGTTCGCAATGACTCGTCTCAGGGCTGGGGCGTATGTGGGTGCTCGCAGGGTGATTGCCAGCACCGCTGGGCCCTGCAACACTCCCAGAGGCAGGGACGCTGGGTGTTACAGTCACTCACAGCCGGCCCAGTGCCACTGACTCAGGGGCCCCTGAGCACTGCTTGGGGGCTGCCCCCCTCCAATTGGCAAAATGAGTGGTCCTTGCATTGCTGATCATGTGAGGTCATTTGGAAAAAATGATTTGGGGCCGGAGCAATAGCACAGCCGGTAGGGCGTTTGCCTTGCACTCGGCCAACCCAGGTTCAATCCCTGGAATCCCATAAGGTCCCCGCTGAGCACCCCATAAGGTTTCCCGAGCAGCACCGCCAGGAGTGATTCCTGAGTGCAGAGCCAGAAGTAACCCGTGAGCATTGCTGGGTGTGACCCAAAAAGCAACAAGCATAGGGGATATGTGGTGGTGGTGGGGGGTGTTGGAACATTGTATGCTGAAACCCTGTTGTGAGCAGTACTGTAAATTATGGAGTCTGAAACCAAAATGGAAAAATACAGTAGCCAGGGTCAGGAAGATGGTAGAGCAGGGCAGGCCTGCTGGACTCTGCCCAGCCCTCTTGAGCTGTTTTGAAGCAACCTGCAATGCACAGACCTAAGTAGCTGGGGCTCCTGCTGACGCCCGGGACACACAGCCAGCCTCCCCCAGGCTCAAGTATGAGGCCTTTTTTTTTTTTTCCTTTTGGGTCACACCCAGCAATGCATAAGGGTTACTCCTGGCTCTTCACTCAGGAATTACTCCTGGCGGTGCTCAGGGGACCATATGGGATGCTGGGAATCGAACCCCGGTTGGCTGCATGCAAGGCAAACGCCTTACCCGCTGTGCTATTGTTCCAGCCCCTCAAGTATGAGGCTTTGAGGCTTCAGCTGACATGGCCCGAAGACCCAGGCCGCAGCATTCCCGGCGAAGAACGCGGCTCTCCTGTCCCTTTTTTCCAGTTCAGCTAGGGTGGCCTGGGGCTCGGTGCCACTACAGGCTGCAGCCCTCCACACTCACACATGCAAATTCCAAACAGCGCTGGTGGGGTGGCAGAGTGCTCAAAAGAGCTGGAGCCTGGGCATGTGGGAGGCCTGACTGCAATCCCACGTGGTCCCCCAGCACCCCGGGGGTGACCTAGAAACAGGACCAGGAGGATGAGCAGTGGACAGGGTGCTTGCCTTGCGCTGACCCCAGATATCCCGAACCCCACCCGAGGGAGCTCTGAGCACAAGCTGGGAGCTCTGCCATCTGTGGCCCCAGGCCCCAGAACTCTCACACCCCGCCTTTAAAAAAGCGGTTCTTCTCAGAATGAAAAAAACAGAGTCTGAGCACGGGGCCCCAGGTCCGACCCCTTAGGGGTTTGGAGACCAGGCAAGTGGCCGGCCAGGGGTTGGAACGAGAAGCTGCAATTGCGGGCACCGGCCGCCAGGTGTCAGCACACACCGGGAAACCGCCGTCCCCGCGCTCCGTGGGTGTCTCTGCTGTGTCTTCGGAGGGGCCCGGGGGTCCCGCTCCCAGCGCCGAGGGAAGAGGGTCACGGAGGCGGAAACCCTTCTGGGGTTCAACAGCTAGGAGGTGGCGGGGGTCCGACTCGGCGTGAGCCGCGGGGCCGCTGACCCACTCCCACCCGGCCCGGCCTCGCTCAGTCCTGCGGGGCTCCAGGGGGGCCCTTTGCACGTGCGGCCTCGGAACCGGGACCCGAACCGGGGAGAAGGCCCGGCTGAGCTCGGTAATGATTAAGGGTGCAGGCTCCGTGCGCACCCGAGTGTGGGGCCAGCGTCCACGAAGCTGGTGGCCAGGCCAGCCCGCTGCCACGTGCACCTGCCACGAGCTGGACAGGTGTCCCCCATCGGGCTGGACGTGGGACCCAGAGCAAGGCGGCGACAGACCCACACCCCCTCCCTCATTCGGGGGTCACTCCTGGTGGGGTGCAAGGGACCATACGGGGCACCCAAGATGGACCCGGGATTGGTACCCTTCAGGGCCTGCAAGGCTGCGCCAGCACCCCTGGACACCTGCTCCGCTGCCCCACGAACAGGTGGCATTTAGGCCCGCCCTCCCGCAGGGGACACGGGGTCAGGGGCTCCTCAGTGAGACCACCGGTGAGATGGGGGTCTCCTGAATCAACCTGGACCCTCCTGGCCTCATGCAGGGACTGTAGCCTTTTGGAGTCCCTGCAGGAGACTCGGTGTCGTCTGCTCTCCCCAACAGGACCCACAACCCAGAGAGCGTGACCCCGAAACAGCTCCGGCCTTGCGTGGGCCCCTGGGACTGAGCCGTGAAAAGAAAACCCCAACCCCAACCATGGGTTTGCTTATACCTGACTGGGTCACTGGGTCTGGGGGCAGGGCTGTGATCAGGGCTCCTGGTTGTTGGGCCAGGGCCAGGATGGGATGGGATTCGGGGCTACCTGTGAGCAAATGCCCCTGGTCCTCCCTGTCCCCCTCTGTCGTGGTAATTGGTGGCGGCCCACGGGTCTGGGTTATCCCTGGTGCTCACAGATCCTCGTGCCCAGCAGGTCTGCCCCTGTTCAAGGCTGCTGGGCGTGCTTGCTGGGGCCGCACACCCGTGGTTTTGACAGCTTGTTCACCTGCCTCCACATGGTCCTGGGTCCTGGGTGCTGGGTGCCTGCCAACGCTTGTGGTGCCCCCCGGTCACAACAGCAACTTTGCCGGACTTGCATTCGGCATGTCTGGAGAACCAGGGGTTTGCACTCGCGCCCACTCTTGGCCCTGCAGGCCTGCCTTGAGCGCATTTCCCTGACACTTGATGACATGGAGAACAACCCCCCCTCCCCCCCCATCCCACTGAACATCCCAGGGGCTTCTCCTCGCCCCCTGACCGAGCAGGCAAAGGCCGGCTGGTCAGGAATAGGGCAAGCAACCCAGGGAAGCAGAGAAGCGGTGGCTGGCAGATGCCAGTGCCCAGGCTGCTGAGGCCCCACTATAACTCTGGTCAGGTGGACTGTCCACTGTCCTGCTGTGGGACAGGGCACATGGCTAGAGGTGTGTCTGACGTGGCCAGTGTCTCCAGGGCTGCTGATAGAGCTCGGAACTCAGGTCCACCCCTGCCTGACCCCATGCCAGACGCTGTGCTCAGGTCCCCTGCTCCCAACTCCTCAGTCCGGAGATGACCATGGGACTCCACCAAGAACCTGAGCCCAGGCCAGAGGCATGTGCCACTCTCGGGCAGGGGAATCCTCGGGCTGGACCCCACAATCTGCCTGGCCCTGCTCCTGCCCAGCTGCCTCTCCCTGGGGCCTGGTGGGGGTGGTCATAGGCAGGTTACCCTGGGGGGCTTTAACCCTGGAGCCCCACTTTGCAGGACACAGAGCAGAGGACAGCACTTGCCCAGTTGGGCCTGACCCAGACCCGGGGAAAGCCCTGGGGACCCCAGAGGGCCAAGGGGGCCCAGGGGTGGGTCACTCAATGTCCAAGCGAGTCTTCCAGAAAGGTCAGAGGGCAGGCCTGGGGCCCAGCTGCTCCCACCAGGAGGCTGTTTGCTCTGAACATTCCAGAGAAACCTTCCTGCAGGAATCTTCCAGAGGAACAGTGCATTGGCTGGGGGCCAGGAAGCTCGGTCCCATGACTCAGCAGGTCCTGGTCCCACAAGCCCAGAGCACCCAGGAAGTCAGCCGCAGAGAGGGCGTGGGCGACACCAGCCCAGTGAGGAAATGGGGCCCCAAACCCAGTGGCCTTTCAGCACCCCAACCCCCGGAGTTCACAGACTCTGCATTCCCCATTCGAGGTCCCAGGAGGCCGAGGTGAGCTGGGACATGGGGGGCTTGCGGTAAAGCCCCTCCTGGTGCACAAGGCCTGGACGAGCCCCGGCACCCGGCCCGCACAGAGACCAGTGACCAAGGACAAGTGGATTTTATTGAGTGCAGAGAGGGGTCCCGGCCCGGCGGGTCGCTGGGGGTGGGGGGCCCACACATCCCGCTCAGCCCCGGGAGACAGGGTGCCCGCTGGACGGACCCGCCACACAGGACGGCTCCGGGCTCTCAGGGGCTTTATTGGAAAAACAGGAGCGAGAGTGGACAGAGGCCACGGAATGTTCTGCTGGGGGGGCGGGGGGCCCCGACCACTCAGACGTTGTAGGAGGAGGAAGACACGCTGCCCCCGTGGCCTGTCCAGTTGGTGTGGACAAAGTGCCCCGGCCGGGACAGGAGCTCGTAGGTGTGGGCCCCAAAGTAATCGCGCTGGGCCTGGAAGGGAAGAGGCCAGGCTGGGGTCTGGAGGCAGCACCCCCCTCCCCGGCCCCCAGCCGCGCCCCCCCCCAGCCCCCTGCCGCCCCCCCAGCCCCCGGCCGCACTCACCTGGATGAGGTTGGCGGGCAGCAGGGCGTGCCGGTAGCCGTCGTAGAAGGACAGCGCCGTGGAGAAGCAGGGCATGGGGATGCCCATCTGCACGCCAGTGCTCACCACCCGCCGCCACGAGTCCTGCAAGCGACAGCGGCCACTGAGGGGGCTGCCCTCCGGGGTGCCCACAACCGACCCCGACCTGACCCCCGCGCGGCGGACCTGGCACTGCTCGATGGCCGCCCGGAAGAAGTCGTCGAGGAGCAGGTTCTGAAGCGCCGGGTTCCGCTCAAACGCTTCCTTGATCTTCCCGAGGAACACGCTGCAGGGGCAGAGAGGCCGGCGTGAGTGTGCCAGAGTGTGAGCGTGCCCGGTGCGTGTGTGCCCATGGTATGTGCGTGTGTCCAGTGTGCGTGCGTGTGTCCAGTGTGTGTGTGTGAGCATGCCCAGTATGTGTGTGCGTGTGTCCAGTGTGTGTGAGTGTGCCTGGTGTGTATGTGTCTGATATTTGTGTGTGTGTGTGTCTCCCGTGTGTGCGTGTCTCGTGTGTGTGTTTTCAGTGTGTGAGCATCCCCTTGCGTGTGTGTGTGTGTGTATGTGTGTGTGTGTGTGTGCGCCCGGTGTGTGTATGTGAGCATGCCCGGGGTGTGTGTGTGTATGAGTGTGCCCGTGCATGAGTGTGCCTGGCGTGTGAGCACGCCCAGTGTGTGTGCCTGGTGTGTATGTGTGTGTGTGCGCGCATGTGCCTGGCGTGTGTGAGCGTGCCCTGTGTGTGTCCAATGTGTGTGAGTGTGCCCCGTGTGTGTCCCATGTGTGAGTGTGCTGTGTCTGTGTGTGTGAGTGTGCCCTGTGTGAGTGTGCCCTGTGTGAGTGTGCCTGTGTGTGAGCGTGCCCACGTGTCACCCCCTCACCTCCGGATGATGCAGCCGCCCCTCCACATGAGGGCGATGCCGCCGTAGTTGAGGGTCCAGCCGAACTCGGTGGCCGCCTGCCGCAGCAGCATGAAGCCTTGCGCGTACGAGATGATCTTGGAGGCGTAGAGGGCCTGCAGGTGCGGGGTGCGGGGTCACGGGCGGCAGAGACCTCGAGGCCACCCTGCACCGCCCCCAGCGCCCCCCGCCCCCCACCTTCCGGATGTCCTCCAGGAATGCCTTCTTGTCCCCTCCGAAGCTGGTCTTCTGGGGGCCCTTCAGCTTCTTGCTGGCCTCGACCCTCTCATCCTTCAGGGAGGACAAGCACCGAGCGAACACAGCTTCCCCTGCAGGAATGGGGAGAAGGTTCTGGAAACAGTCCAGGGGCCACGGAGCCTTCCCGGGGCAGGCAGAACTCTCTGGGCTCTGACACGACCCCAGACAATCTGCCTCCGAGACACCAGGAGACACCAGGAGTCGGGGGGAAAGCAGCCCCCGCATCCCCGCCCTCCGGCCCTCACTGCCCCTGCCGTGTCTCAGCTCCCCAAGAGCCCGCAGGGGTCCCAGGCACCGGCCGGGCAGGGAGTGACCTGGATGCCCCCAGCTACATGAAGGGCCCCTCTCTCCCTCGTTCCAGAAGTTTAGGGATTTGTTGTACTTTACGGAAGGGGAAACACCTCAGCATCATATATACTTTTTGGGGGGATGCACCCAGTATCCAGCAGTGCTCAGGAACCACTCGGGGTGCTGGGGATGGAACCTGGGGTGGCCATGTGCGAGGCAAGTGCCGTCCCTCTTGCTCCAGCGCCTGCCACGGCTGTGTGAGGTGCCACACTCGCCCTGGAGAGCTGCCAGCGCCCACACGCACCCCGGACACTCCACACACCGCTGGACAGCAGCGCCATCTCCAGCGGCCGGGGAGGTCGTTCCTGGCGGGGACCCAGCCGCTCCGGACTAGCAGACACAGCATGACTCGGCACTGGGACTCTGGCACAGGGCAGGTGTGACCCGCCCAGGTGAGCTGTCAGGAGGCGCCCAGCTGCCCTTCCCAGCCTGGCCCCACCCGGGCTGCAGAGGAACAAAGTCCCCAGGCATGGAGGCCTGGGATGCTGAGGGCGGGGGTGGGGGTTAGCCAAAACGTGTCTGGGCCCGGGGCCCAGTCAGTTGTGGCCACTTCCACCACCCACATCCTCCCTCAGTCCCTATTTTCATATATATAGATACATATATATATTTTTTTCCCTTTTTGGGTCACACCCAGCGATGCTCAGGGGTTACTCCTGGCTCTGCATTCAGGAATTACTCCTGGTGGTGCTCAGGGGACCATATGGGAATGCTGGGAATTGAACCCAGGTTGGCCGCGTGCAAGGCAAATGCCCTACCTGCTGTGCTATCGTTCCGGCCACCTTTCCTTTATATTTTAAATTTTCACTTGAATGTTTCTGTGTGTTGAGTCAGCCCTGGCAGAGGCATTACGGGGCACCAGGAATCAAGCCTGGGTCGGCTGTGTGAGAGGTGCTGACCTGCCGTGCTATCTCTTGGGCTCCACGGTTTTTTTGTGTTTGGGTCACACCTTCGATGCTCAGGGGCTACTCCTAGCTCTGCACTCAGGACACACTCCTGGCGGTGCTTGGGGACCATATGAAATGCCAGGATCGAACCCGGGTCGGTGGCATGCAAGGCGAGCGCCCTCCCCGCTGGACTATCACTCCGGCCCCCACAGCCCCAATTTTGCATCTGGGTGATGCCAGGGGCCAAGCCCAGGGCCTGGCACACGCACATCCCCTGCTGGACCCGCGAGCCCCCCCACCCCACAGGGCGTTCCTTACCGATGAGCGTGACGGGGACGCCGTAGTCCAGGGCCGAGATGGCCGTCCACTTCCCGGTGCCCTTCTGCCCCGCGCTGTCCCGAATCTTCGGCAGCAGGTGCTTGCCGTCGGTGTCCTGGAACTTGAGGATGTTGGCGGTGATCTCGATCAGGAAGGAGTCCAGCTCCGTCTTGTTCCACTCCTCAAAGGCCTGGGGCGGGGGGGAACGGGTGAGGAAGACAGTGGCCGGGACTCCAGCACCAGGCTGGAAGCCGGCGAGCCCCGTGACCCCCACCCGGGGACCCCGGCAGGCCCGTCCCCGCGGGCTCACCTGAGCCATCTGGTCCTGCCCCAGGCCCAGCACGTCCCGCATGAGGTGGTAGGCCTCGCAGATGAGCTGCATGTCGCCGTACTCGATGCCATTGTGCACCATCTTCACAAAATGCCCGGCGCCCTCGTCCCCCACCTGCCGCGACAGCAGGCGCGGGGAAACTGAGTCACAGGGACCCGCAGCCAGAACCACCCCTGCCTGTGCCCCCCACCGCAGCTCCAGCCTACCGGCCCCACACACCTCACCCCTGCGTCCCTTACCCCACGCCCCCTCCGGCCCGCAGCTCCCCACTCCTCACCCCCTACAGCCCATGGCCCCCACACGCCGCACCCCTGCATGCTACCTCACTCCGGCCTCCCTCTGCTGTCCCCTGCCCGCCCCGAAGTGTCTCACCCCAAGCTCCCGTCTCTCGTGACCAGAGCCCACACAGCCGGCCCCCGCTACAGGGCTGGAGGCCGGGGTGTGCCCAGCCACCCAGATCTGTCGGGGCGGCCCCACGTCTCTGGGCCTGGCTGCTGGCAAGTTGTGGCTGACACAGCAACAGGAGTGGGGCTCAGAGCGGGGGCCCTGCCTGGAGCCCGACAGTCCTTGTCTGTGGCCTTGCCTGCCCTGGAGGCTAGTCATGGTCACTGTACCCAAGTTCCTGCCTCAGGGCTGGGGCCCCACAGGACACGATCTGCAGCCAAGGCCACAGCTGCTGCAGGCTGGGAGGACAGAGAGTGGATCAGCCCCCTCGGGCTGGCCGGCACTGCTCCCCCGACAGTGGGCCAGGCCCTCCCACTCTGCAGGACCAGGACACCGCCAGGCCACCCTATCCGAGAGACGGGTCGCTCACAGAAATCTCATTTCACCCCATCCTTCCTGTTCCCCTTTATGGAGTGAGTGGGGTCTGCTCCCAGTTCAGTGCTCAGGGGACTTTGGGTGATGGGAAGGCAACCCAGGGCTTACAGACAAGTGCTCCAGCCGCCCCGCCCTGCTGATGCCCTAAGGAGCAGTGACGGGCTGCCCCCATGCTGAGGCCGGGGTCCACCCCCAGCATGTGAGCAAGTACCCACATGTGCCCCCATATGCCCACACCCCCGTACACGCCACCTCCAAGTACCCACATGCACCCAACTCCCACATACCCACAGTGCCACTACACACAGGACCCCATATGCCCTTACCCACAACACTGCCCACACGCCCCTCCCCCCAGATGCCCTCCCATCCCCCATCTGCCCACACAGACCCCGTGCCCACCCCCTCACCCTGACCCCTCTGCCCAAGAATGCAGCGGGGACACAGCACCTCCAGTTCCTCAACCACAACTCGAAGTTTGGATCTGAGGTTGCACGTTCGTGGGCCCCCCATTGGCCATCCCCCCACCCGGCCACACTCTCGCCCCTGCCACGGCCGTTCCCCACCCGACCACACTCTCGGCCCCGCGGCCGTCCGCTCACCCAGTCGCAGCAGGGTTCCCCGGAGCCCACTTTGGCGGCGATCTCCTGGAAGATGGTCTTGATGTGGGGCCTGTGGGCGGGAGTGACAGACGTCAGAGCCAACACCCCAGACACCCAAGGGTTCCCTGGGAGGAGGGGAGTGCTCAGTCGAAGTGCTCGGTCCCTCCTCGCAGATCCCGAGGCCCTGAGGCAGGGCTGCCAGCACCAACGCTCATCAGAGCTCCCGGGAGCCCGGCCCTGGGCAGACACACTTCCACACCCCTCAGGCCACTCAGACGCTGGCGCTTCTGCCCCGTGGCCTCACCGCCATGACCTTGCTCCAGTGACCTTGCTCCCGTGGCCTCATTCCCACGACCTCACTCCCGTGGCCTCGTTCCTGTGGCTTCGCTCCTGCCCCAGCCAGTCCGACAGCTTCACAGGAGCGAGCCCGAGATTCCTGCTCCCAGGGTGACAACAGTCCTGCCTCTGGTGTTAGCACCTTATGGCAACTTGACCCGGGCTTGGGGACGAGTGCCACCGAGAGAGGGTTCGTGCAGCGAGAGCAACCCTGCCCGAGCCCCCAGCACCAGTGAGCAAGACCCGGGCCTGCCCTCGGGTGAGTCATCCCCCAGCTTGCCTCCTCGGCTGCTCTCCGGGGGCCCCTATCATCCCGGGGCTTGGGCTGGATCTGGGCCCCTCGCCTCTGGGGATCAAGGCGAGCACTTGTGCTAACACCTACCCGAGTCCAGAGAACTTGGAAACCAAACACCCTGAGAGAATATTCTCTTCTCCCTGTCCACATCTGTCCCACAGGGTCCTCTATTTCCTTTTCTTTTTGGGGGGGAGTGTGTAGGGGGGGTCACACCCGGCGACGCTCGGCGGTTGTTACTCCTGGCTCTGAGCTCAGAATTACTCCACGTGGGGCGGCCGGGATCGAACCCGGGTCGGCCGCGTGCAGGGCCAGAGCCCTCCCCGCTGTGCTGTGGCCGCTAGTTCCTTCCCTGCCCCTCCCCCCACCGGCTCTTGCCCCACAGTCTTACACACAGGCGGGCTGGTGTTTCCCACACACCGCCATCTGCCCATGCGTCACTTCCGCATTTTCTTTTCCTCTGCTTTACTATTTTGTCTTTTAAAAAATTGTGTTGTAAGGGCTAGAGCGACAGTACAGAGGGCAGGGCATTTGCCTTGCATTCGGCTGGCCCGGGTTCGAGCCCCAGCATCCCATATGGCCCTCTAAGCACCGTCAGGAGTGATTCCTGAGTGCAGAGCAAGAATAACCCCTGTGCACCGCTGGGTGTGACCCAAAAAGCAAAAAACAAACAAAAGAAAAAATTATGTTGTAGTTTAGGTGACGTGGTTAAGACAGCATGAACACATACACCACGTTTCTTAGTTTTTAATTTTAATGTTCGGGCCACACCTGGCAGTGCTTAGGGCTGACTCCTGGTTCTGGGCTCAGGGCTGACTCCTGGTAAGACTCGGGGGACCATACAGGGTGCCGGGGTTGAACTCAGGTCAGCCACATGCAAGGCCAGCGCCCTCCCCGTAGTGCTACCTGCCTGGAGCACCCCACCCGTCTGCCCCTCGGCACTTACAGCTCTGATGGCGTCACTGTACCCCACCACCTTAGTGTGTCACCACCCCCTCCCCCACCCCACCCCCACTAGGCTGTCACCTGCCTTCCCATACTGGGAGGCCATCTGTTCCGGAATCCAAGGTCTAAGGGCTTATCCTCGCCGCACACCTGTCCCAGGCTCCCAGGGGACAGGACACTAGGTTGAACTGTCCCCATTCCTTCTGGGGACCGTGAGGCACCTTCCCCCATCCCCTGACCGAGCACCCCCAGGTAACGCGCCCTGGGGAGCACCGAGCAGCCGAGTGGCCAACGGGGCGTGAAAGCCCAACACAGGGGCACCCCCAGAACCAATTCCGGACGCCGGGACCTTCAGCTGATCCTGAAGCCACAGGCTCAGAGTCAGAGGCGAGAGCGGGAGGATGGAAGAAAGGAAAGGGAGGTGGCAGGAGGGGACACGCACAGACGCCCCGGCAGCACCCAAGCCGTGCACACCCCAAAGCTCGAGCCCCCATGTGGGCAAAGGACTCACCACGCGGCTTTGTTCCCGCCTGGCATGAGCGATGGGCCATAGCGGGCGCCCTCCTCGCCGCCGCTCACGCCACTGCCCACGAACAGGATGCCCCGGGCGCTCAGGTCTCGGCACCGCCTCTAGGGGAGAGAATGTCCCACTAGGCTCGGGGGGGCGGGAGGAAGACAGGGGACCCGCCAGCCAGCTCCGCGCAGACAGGACCTGGCACCGGAACATCAGAGCCGGGGACTGGCCACGGAGCCGGGCATGGGGACATCAGAGCTGGGGACGGGCTGTGGAGCACCCCCACCCCCACCCCGAAAGTGCAGTGTCAGTGAGTCTTTCTAGCATGTTCTCAGCATCAGGAGGAACCCCGTGGCCACTCACGGTGGTGTCCTTGTATTCAGAGTTTCCTCCGTCGATGATGATGTCGCCAGACTCCAGTAGCGGTACCTGGGACCAGACACGGCATTAGGGGGACAGAGCAAGGCCGGGGACGGGCTCGTGCCTGAGATGGGGAGACCCAGGGGTCCAGCCCTGCCACTATAGGAAAAGAGAGAGAGAAAAGGGAAGGAAAATGTGGGAAAGAAGCAAAGACAGAGCTGGAACGCAGCTGACCACCTAAGAGGAGAATGAGCAGGGCCAGGCGCCCTGCCTGAACCAGAAACTCCTGCACACCCTGGGCAAGCCTGGCGGCTCTGCCATGGGCCATCCCTGGCACAGGGAAGGTCGCTTCCGGCCACAAAGCAGCTAGGGCTGGGGAAGCCCTACGAGGGGTCCAACCCCTCTGATAACATGTGGGAGCATTACAGCTAGGCAGGGAGCCCCCCTCCCAACAGCAGGTACCCATGTGACCAGACATGCCACAGAGCGGAGACATGGGAAGGGGGGGAGGAGGAAGAAGAGAAGGGGGATGGCGGGGAGGAAGAGAGATAAAGGAAGGAGGGATGCGAAAAGAGAGGAGGAGAGAGGACAGGAGGAAGGAAGGAGGAGGGAAGGCCAGTCGGAAGGACAGAAGGAGAGGAGAAAAGGAAGGAGGGAGGGTGGAAGGAAGGGAAGGGTGAAGGCAGGAGGGAGGGCAGGGTTGAGAGCCACAGCACTGTTGACTTTGGCTGGTCCTGCTGTGGCTGGACACCCAGGGTGAGCTTAGGCTGCGGGCACGGGGCCCAAAGGGCTGAGCACCTGCTTGGCACGTGGGAGGCCTGGGTCTGACCCCCACGCCACATCGTCCCTGAGCACCGCGCAGACCTCCACGCTCAGGGTCGGGAACAGGCTCTGGGCAGTGCCCGCGGAAGCCCACGTGCCCACACTTCCCAAGGGGGCCTCGCGCGGGTCCCACATCCCCGCACACCCAGAGGGGCCCTGCGGATGGACCACCTCCTGCAGAGGCCCCCAGCACCCCATGAGGGACCCCGGGAAGCCGGAGGCACCCCAAACAAAACAAAGATCGGTTCTAGAATCTCAGCCTGGGTCAGCGCAGGGGGGGTTCAACCCCATCCACTGATTTCCCGCGCGAAAGAGCCCCGAGTCACCAGCAGTGGGAGGGCAGAAAGAGAATCTGCGCGACTGCACCAATCAGGGAGCCGCACCTCCTGCTGGCCCCGCCCAGCAGTGGGATGGAAGGTAAAGACGCACCAATCAGGCTGCAGCGTCCCCTGCAGGCCCCGCCCAGCAGTGGGAGGGCAGGAAAAAACACACCAATCAGGTGCTGCATGCCCTGCTGGCCCCACCCAGCAGTGGGATAGAAGGTGAAGACGTACCAATCAGGCTGCAGCATCCCCCACAGGCCCCGCCCAGCAGTGGGAGGGCAGGAAGAGACACACCAATCAGGTGCTGCATGCCCTGCTGGCCCCACCCAGCAGTGAGATAGAAGGTGAAGACGTACCAATCAGGCTGCAGCATCCCCCACAGGCCCCGCCCAGCAGTGGGAGGGCAGGAAGAGACACACCAATCAGGTGCTGCATCCCTTGCTGGACCCACCCAGCAGTGGGAGGGAAGGAAGGAACGCGCCAATCAGGCGCCGCATCCCCTGCTGGCCCCGCCCACAGTCCCTGGTTGAGCTTGGGCTGTGGCCATCCACAAAGGTTGGTCTGGGGGCCAGAATGCTAGTACAGCAGGGAGGGCGCTTGCCTTGCACTCAGTGGACCTGGGTTCGATCCCCTACATTCCATATGGTTCCCCAAGCGCAGTTGGGTGTGGCCCCCAAACCAAACCAAAGCTTGGTCTGCCCCTTCTTGTCCTTCAGAGGAAGCCGTGGGTTGTCTGGGGGTTCAGCGCTGGGCTGTAACCCTGAGCCGGCTCCCCTGCCCATGGTCGGGGGTCTGTCCATCTCTCCGCTGTCCTCCCATCATCTGCTGGCTTTCACTGGCCAGGAGTGACCCTGAGCACAAAAGCCAGGCCCAAGTATGTGCCTCCCAAGCGTCAAACAAACTGGGTTTTCAAACAGCCACGGGGAGCCACTGAGGTCAGCGGCTGCACTGGTTTCCCTCCTGCAAGAGGCGCACAGGCAAGAGCTTGGAGGGGCTGCATCCCAAGCGCCGAGGGGGCTTCTGTTTCTGGGCCACCCCCTACCCCCGCCCCAAGCTCAGGGGCTGCTGCTGACAGGGCCACGCAGAGCCGGCACTCCGCCGCCAGGCTCTCTCCTGGGCCCTCCTGGGCACCCTCACTGGGACATCCGGTGCCCTCGTAAATGATGTGTAAGGGGTCATTATTAACAGAAGACAGGTGGTTACTGGTTGCCAAGCAAGCTCACCCGGAGACAGGTCAGGGTTCTGCCCTGACTGAGAAGTTCCAGTTCGGGACATAAAGGAGGCGAAAATCTTTAAAGCAGGCTGGGCGGTGGCCGCGTGGGCTGGAGCTTGGTATGCAGGAGTCCCGGGTTCTAGCCCTAGCACTGCATGATCCATCCCCCCAAGTACCAGCATGGGAAGCAAACCCTGAGCTCCGAGCTGGGAGCAGCCCCTGGGTGCCAGGGGCCCCACCCCACACACACACCAATAACACCCAGTTAAGTACAAAAGGGTTGAAACAGCAAAAAGAAAGAATCGGGCTGGAGAGATAGCACAGCGGGTAGGGCGTTTGCCTTGCATGCGGCCGACCTGGGTTTGATTCCCAGCATCCCATATGGTCCCCTGAGCACCGCCAAGAGTAACTCCTGAGTGCAGAGCCAGGAGTAACCCAAAAAGAAAAAAAAGAAAGAATCAAGCTCCAGGAGAGGGTTCAGCGGGCTGGAGCTGGGTGCATGAGGGAACCCAGGTTATGAGACCCTGTAGTAGCCTGACCCCCAGCCCCCAGTCAGGTGTGGCCCCAAGCCCAGAACAGTGTGGGGCGACTGGGAGCAGAAGGCCGCCTCACCAACTTGTCGATGAAATCATCCACGGCCTGGCCAGCTTTCACCAGCAGGATGATTCTCCGGGGCTTCTTCAGCTTGGACACCATCTCCTCCAGGGAGTGGGCGCCCACCACCTTCGTTCCCTTGGCCTCATTGGCCAAGAAATCGTCCACCTTGGACACGGTCCGATTAAAGGCACACACCTGGGGAGGAGAGGCCAGATTTGGAGGCGGCGGGGCGGGCAAACCCCAGCTTCGGGCCACTGGCCCTGACCAAGGCCCGGGCACTTCTGCTCAGCCCCAGGCTGGGGGGGGCGGGGCCCTTGGCGCGGAGGACTCGTCCCTGTTGCAGGTCCCGGGGCGGGTTGCTCACTGCGCAGGGACTTAAGTAGGATGAAGTGGCAGGGAAGGTAAGCAAAGGTCACCGACTGCCCGGGCTGGGGTCACTGGCGTTAAGGAAGTGGCCAAGGCAGCGGCTGGGCCAGGCCTCTAAGGCCGCTCTGCGTTTCCGCAGAAACTTCCCCCCTCTCCCCGTCCTCCCCGAGCACTCCCCAGGGCGCGCGAGGCTGCACATCCCCGGAGGGCTCGCGCGCTGCTTGCTACACCTCCAGGGGGGCTTCCTGGTGCCGGCTCCGCGGGGTGGTCAGCTCAGCTGGGCGGGGCAGGGGCCGCGGGCGCTCTGCACGGAGGGGCGCACAGCGCCCTGGGCCCGGGCGTGCAGCGGGGGCCGGCTTGGCTTGGGGGGTCCCGCGCTTACCACGAAGCCGTGGTCGTTCATGTTCAGGATCAGGTTCTGGCCCATGACGGCGAGTCCGATCAGCGCGATGTCGGCTCTGCGAGACCCGGCGGTCAGTCCCGATCGGTGCCCCCCGCTCGGGAACGGGGCACCGCAGCCCGCGCCCCCACGCCCCCCGGGCAGTCCCGCGTGTCCCCCCGCCCCTTCCCAGGCACCCCGGGCGGGCCTCCCCCTGCAGCCCCGCGGGCGCCGGACCCCCGAGCCGGGCTCGGGGGCGGGCGGACACTCACTGGGCCATGGCGACGGCGCGGCGGAGCTGCAGGGCGCAGGGCAAGCGGGCGCGGACCCCGGCGGGCAGCGGCTGGGGCTCCCCTCCCGGGCCGCGGCCGCCGCGTTCCGGCGCCGGCCAATCAGGGCGCGGGGGCGGGGCCAAGGCGCCGGGCCATTGGCCGGCCGCAGCGCCTGTTACACCACCTGAGCCGCGTGGGCCCGCCCCCTCCCGGGCCCGGCCAGCCGAGCGCCGAGCGCATCGATGCGCGAGCGGGGCGCGGGGCGCGGGGCGCGGGCCGCAGGAGGGGTGCGGCGTGCGGGGTGCGGGGCGCGGGGTGTGCCGGCGCGCGGGGAGGGGCTCACGCAGGCCCAGTCCGGGGCCCGGGCCGAGCACGAGGGCCCCTGCGCGGGACCCGGCCCTGCCCCTGGACCTGGTGTGCGGGTGGGCAGGCGGGAGCGGCCCGGGACACGGGGCAGGGGGGTGCCGGCCGGCGTGGGGAGCCAGTGGCCACCCCCCCACCCCGTGCAGGTGAGAAGCGAGGGCAGGGGGCCCCCTCCCCCTGAGTGAAGGGGTCAGCCCCGGGCGCCGCCGCCGGGGGACCCCCTCCCGCTGCGCCCCCTCCTCCTGTTTTTCCGCTGGGATCACCCGGCCCCCCGGGGATCAACCACGGATTGCACAAGTCACGCAGGCGGCGAGTGACTGGTCACTGCGCACTTGGGGTGGACTCGTGGCCGAAGCCTTTTTTAAAAAAAAAAAACTTTATTTTAGTTAGATGGTTTCACTGAAGGAGTGCTCAGGGCTGACTTCTGGCTTTGCGCTCCAGGGATCGCTCGTAGGGGGGTTTGGGGAGACCCCTGGGGGTGCCCGGGTTCCTTCAAGGGGGAGGGCACACGAAGCGCTTTCTTTGCTGTACTGTCGCTCTGGGCCCCAAGGCTGTTTTTTTTAAGCCGCACCCCAAGGTGCCCATGGGGATGGGAATTGGGGGGACCCTGCACTGGGCTTGACTGGGGGCCTCCTCCCCCCCCCTGCACAGGGAAGCAAGGCTGTGTCCCACCCCCTAGTTACTTGGGCAGAGGAACTTCCAGCAGTGTCCTGCCACAGAGAATTTTCCTGGTGGTGGTTGTGTGATTATTGCATCGCAGTAAAAGCAAATGTGTTCTGTTTGGGGGTGGCCTCCCCAGAAGTCAGCGGGTGTGGGAAGCTGGCCATTTAACTGACCAGGGGCCTGCGTGACCCGCGGCAGGCAAATCCTGTGCTCTGTACAGTTATCTTGAGGAAACATCTGTCATGGCTCTCCACGAAAGCAAGAAGTAACTGACTGATCAATCATGTATGTGAAACTGTATAGACTTTGTAACTTTCCTAACCATATATGGACATGACCTTTTTGTGTATGGACATGACCTTTTTGTGTCACTACTTCATGCTTGGTATGCTTAGTTTCCTGTACTCATAGGTATATAAGCCCTTGCCGCCCTAAATAAAGTCTGTCCTGTCCTGCCCTGCCCTGTCCTGTCCTATCCTCTCTCTTAGCTTCTTGTCTCTTCTTGCGTCTGCGTGTTCATTCGGTTGATCCCTCCTTGCACGTACGTACGGAACCCGGAACCCTCCCTGCCGGTTGGGGAGGCGACTCGAGGGTCCCCCCGGCAGCTGGTGCCCAAACGTGGGGCCGTGCTTGGGAGGTGATCGTCGAACGACTCATGGGAATCGGTGGCCACCAGGACACACTAAAGGTAAGTGTGAGCCTATTCATGGGATCCCCGTCCCGGCAGAATAACTGTCGGGGCTGTGTGGGACACAGAAATCTGAGGCATTGAGGGGAACTGAGTCTCATGAGGGTGAATTGAGACGGTCACATTCCCTGTGACGATGTTGTATTGTCTCGTCTGCGTGAATGTGTGTGAATGAGCGACCTGAGGTTCGATTTTGTGGGTCCAGGACTGGGCACCCTTAAGGTCCCCTAAAGGTCACGGAGTCTGAGTGGGTTGTCTGCGATTCCCTGGGGAGCATAAGGTCTAGGGTGGTGCCGACTTAGATGTCGGCCATAAGTCACCATTGGCTGATGCACTACTGCTAAGCACCCCACCGGCCAGACAAGCACCTGAGTGGATTTCCCTTTGGGGAGGGAGATCTCCCTGTGACGTCGCGCCTTCCCCTTCATTCTCTCCCCCACCGAGTCGGCCTCACAGTGACCCATCTTTGTCACGTCTTTTTTTTCTCTTTCATGTGACTTGTCCTCCCCCTTTTATCTCCTCTGTAGTTTTCTCTTTTCCCCTCTTTTGTTCACTCGTGTCCCTTGGTCCGCCGTCAGTAGTCATGGGGCAGACCCTGACGAAGAGGGAATTGTTTTAGAGGCCTTAAGACCTCCCTTAAACATCGCGGGGTCAAGGTAAAGAAAAAGGACCTTGTCGATTTCTTCCTTCTTCTTGAAGATGTGTGTCCATGGTTCCCACAAGAGGGAACCGTTGATGAGGAACGCTGGGGCCGTGTGGGAGACTGTCTTAAGGACTACTACGGGGGGTCCCGAGAAAATCCCCGTCCCGACCTTTTCCTACTGGAACCTTATCAATGAGATTCTCCAGGTCAGACATTCTCAGGCTGATGCAAAACAGATCGTTCATGACTCAGAGACCTTCTTAAAGGACTACCGCCCCTCTGCTCCACAGACCCGTGGCCCTTCTTGGCCTCCCTCTATCCCCTCCCCCGGCCCCCCAGGCGCAGTGGAGGCCCACCATTCACCGTGCCCTTCTGTGTCTATCCCCATGCCTCCTGAGGACCAGGCTGGCGATCTATCCGAAAAATCACCGCCTTCCCCGGAGGACCCTTCCCCTGTCGCCTGCCTTTATCCTGTCAGCAGGGAATCCCCTGTCCCTGAGGCCCTGCCCCCTAAGGATGTCACTGACCTTGAGGATGTGGCGGCCTGCCACCGATCTCCTGAATGGCCTCCTACTCTTGCCCATCCTGTGCCATCCTTCTGCCACCCTCCCCCTTATAACCCTGATGTTTTCTATGGGGCTACAACCCCTTCTCTCCTCATGGACCCCAATCTAAGTCTGGCTTCTCAGCCTCTGGCCCAGGACACCCAAGCGCTCCGCTCCTTCTTACAGCAGAAACGGGAGTTCTTGGAACTCCTCAGGCAGGTCAGACAACTTGACTTGGATGTCCTCCCTTCTACTGATACCTCACGGGCACCCCAAAAATCGAGCCCCAAGCCCCAGTCTCAGTCCCTCCCCATTCTCTGCTCCCAGGGTCGCAGCCAGGCCCTCCCACCTACTGGAGAGGGTCCAGAGGAGGGACCCCAGGAGGCGGACTCTCAGGAGGAACACGACGATGGGGACCCTATGCCTGAGAACCCCGCGGAAGCCCGCGCTCAGGGGGCAACTGGCCGCCAGCCGTACAGCCGCTTGAAATTCAGCGATATTAAAGACCTCGAGGGCGCGGTCTCCTCTTGTGGCCCAGCCGCTCCGTTCACCCTGAGTCTGCTTGAGTCCCTTAGTGAAGTTTGGCTTACGCCCAACGATTGGTTCTCCCTGACCCGCGCAGTATTGAGCCGCGGGGATTATTTGCTTTGGAAGGCTGATTATCATGACCGCTGTCAGGAGACTGCCAGGCGTAATCTGGCCGCCGCTGGGTCCTCCTCGTCCTGGACCCTGAATAAGTTTCTGGGCAATGCCCCGTTTTCTTCTAATGAAGTTCAGGTGCAATTCCCTCCCGGCCTCTTAACGCAGGTTCAGGCAGCGGCCTTGAAGGCCTGGAAAGGCCTTCCTTCCAAGGGTTCCGTTCTCACCTCCTTGGCGAAAATCAGGCAGGGACCCACTGAACCTTATAATGATTTTGTGGGACGGCTGATGGAGGCAGCCGAGCGCCTTATGGGAGGAGGAGATACTGATAATGAATTTATTCGCCACCTAGCCTACGAGAACGCCAAGTCAGTCTGCCAAGGCGTCCTCCGCCCCCATAAGAGGGGCAAGACACTCTCTGAATATCTTCGGCTGTGCGCTGATGTAGACCCCACCTCCCACAAGATTGGCCTGGCTATCAGGGCTGCCTTGAAGGGACTAACCAACGCCCCCGCGGCCCCCACACCAGTCGATCCTAGAGTGTGTTTCGGTTGCAATAAACCTGGCCATTTCCTTCGGAATTGCCCTGAGTGGGGAAGATCTTGTGCACCCCACACGTTATGTCCTAAGTGTAAGGAAGGTTACCATTGGGCATCCGAGTGCCGGGTTGGGACAGTGTCCCGGCCAGGAAACTCGTCACGGAACCGGCCCCGGGGCCCCATAATGCAGCAGGCAACTGGGGCGCTTCCCTTGGCACCCCCCTCTTTTCTTCCCCCCGGAGCACCAACGCCTCCGGTTTCGATTCCCTCCTTCATGCCATCCCAGGCAGAATGCAAGACGCTCCTGTCCCTTTCTGTCTCTGGCAGGCCCTTTAACGGCCTAATAGACACGGGAGCTGACACCACTACTATCACCGCTAGGGATTGGCCCTCCAAGTGGCCGTTGTCCCCGTCCCTCACACACCTTCAGGGAATTGGCCCCTCTAAGAACCCGATGTTGAGCTCGGCTGAGCTCAAATGGCGAACTCCCAAAGGGAAGGAAGGCTCTGTCCGTCCTTATACCCTCCCGGATTTGCCTATTAATTTGTGGGGCAGGGATATCCTGTCCCAGATGGATTTGATCCCCGTGGATACTAAAGGCCTTGGTCTCTTGCTCCAGCAGGGTTATCTCCCCGGCCAAGGCCTGGGCAAATATTCCCAGGGCGTTACTGAACCTGTGACACTTCCCCCTCTGTAGGGAGACTAGGACTGGGAAATTTACCATGACAGCCACTGACTTGCCTGTGCCCCACGCTGGTAAAATTATCTGGCGAACTGACGATGCTGTGTGGGTAGATCAATGGCCCCTGTCCTCAGAGAAGTTAGCAGCAGCGGAGACGCTGGTACAGGAGCAGCTCGCTGCCGGGCATATAGAACCTACCAACTCCCCCTGGAATACGCCCATTTTTGTGATCAAGAAGAAGTCAGGGGGGCTGGAGCGATAGCACAGCAGGTAGGGCGTTTGCCTTGCATGCGGCCAACCCGGGTTCGATTCCCAGCATCCCATGTGGTCCCCTGAGCACCGCCAGGGAT